CACACGCCGGAGATCGGTGGTTCGATTCCTGACTCTTTCTAATTTCTGATTCTAAAAAAATAATGAATTGTAATCACAAGGTAAGTAGAAGAATGAATAAAACGGATTCAGAAAAATAAAGAATTCGTAAAACTCAGATATTTAAATAATTGAATAGAAAATGATATAAAAGTAATGCATGTGGCTAAATGCTAGTATAAAAGCCAAAAAATAAACAGACAAATCCAGTAAACAGTAAAAGTAACATAGGATCTGATTAATAAAGGTAGATAATTGCTTATAAAGTTTTATCAATACCGCAGTTTACTTCATTGTAAGATCTTCTCGTCGCTTCAAATTAATTAAATATGTAAAATTTGAGAGAATTAAGAGAGGAAAATTGAGCGTGGAAGTAAATTTTAAGTTATCCAATAAGCTAGATATTGCCTTATAAGGATTTATTAAGTATTTTATAATTTTTATATTGAGTAAACTATACTTCAGCGCCCTTTATTGGTAAGATCTTCTTGTCTCTTCTTCGCACTCGAAATCGGGGCTATATATTTCACGGGGCTCCACGGGAGGGCCAACGTGATGACGTCATTAAGAAACACTTAAGCCGCAGGGAGTCGTACTCGAATACCGGAGCTGCGCGTGGAGCCGAAACGTCTATATCGAATATCGTTCGAATTTTATCATAAATTCACGTTCACTATTCCGCTAATTTAACAAAATTCTCATGGAATTCAGTCTAAACAATTGCTATTATGAAATGTGTATTTTCAAAAACAAATTTGCAAAATAATATCACAGAAAGTTATAGAAAATTGGTTGTCTAAAGGTCCTTAAATATTATTGCTGAATATTATTTCGTAAGGTTTGCCAAATACTTTTGCATCATAAATTTACACTTACTATTTGCGAAAGTGTTTTCCACAGGAGACTCTGCAATACGAGCTCGCAAGCCGCCTTCTGGACTTGTTAATATAATTTATAACTGACTTATCGTTCTTGTTTCTGTTTTAGCTAAGACTTGATCACAAATATACATACATACATCTTGTATTTAAGTTTTCTAGCTAATATTTAACTTGTTTTTTTACGCAGGTTTTCACAGATGCAAAAATTAGTCGTCGCATTATACTTAAACAAGTATATTGTGTTTTACATAGTACAATTATCATAAACGAATAAATTTGGCTACGTATACCACAATATATTTCTAATTCTTTATCCTCCGCAAAAGCATAACATAGTCCACTTCCTATTAGAATCTGTGATTAATTGTCAACAAAAATAATTTTAACTTCTCTCACTTACATTTATCTCAACTCCGAAGCTGTTACAATCGTATACCTAGATAATAGAGTACTCTAGAAGAGTTCTTGAAGTCGATTAATCTGTTTGGAGAAGTTCCCGTACCTCTTTTTTGTGTGCAAGATAAAACTAAGATATAGAACCACGGATGACAATAAGAAAATAATCTGAAGTATTGTATATGATAGAGTGATGATTGAGATGATAAATAGATGATCTTCAAATCGAATGCATTTGAATGATGATTTTGAAATTTTATTTAAAGCGATCTCCCAAAGCGATGGATGGCTCTATGAACACATGGAAAGAAATCAACATAACGGTTCGCTTTGGACATGGAGTGCCGTTGAAATAGATCGCTTATTACGCTCAAACCATTTATATAAAATACTGATATTTATTTGATATTAGAGAAATATTATAAATTATTAGACGATATATATTTTGTTCCGATTTATATTTTTGCAAAACAATCATTTCTCTGATTATAAAGTGTGATTGCACACATGTAAAGAAATTCTATTATGTTTTGCTCAAATATTTATAATATATAGGAGCAAATCAAGCATTCTTATGTATTATACGTTATATGGTTGCCAATAAATCATACTTTCACCCCCAATGAAAAACTTGTTGCAAGATAAATAATCATCCAAGTTACAAAAATACAGCTTGAAAATAAATATCAACGTTATCAAAATCTTTTACCCTGCCAAAGGCAAAATCATTTTTCACTCCGTAAAATTCATATTAGTATCATAAGCATTTTTACGAGCAGATGTTCAAATATATATTTCCGAAACTAACAATTCCTGTGTGTTCCAACGTGTGTATCAATGCGTTTTTTCTCTCTCCGTCAATTTATATTCATTGTGTTCCAATAATAACCACTCCGCCCATTTCCTAAGGTGGTATTTAATATCACTCTTGATATGTTTATTATACTATTAAGAAGAATACATCAGTTAACGCGGCTTTGCTTCGCATGAAACAAATGCGTGTGCACATTGAATTAATACGAATTAATTGAACTGTACACTGTTAATATATATCACTGATCCTCAAATATAATAATGTATCAATTATTTTACTCAGAATGAGCAAAAAGTTATGTTAATGTTATTCAGGATTTCAAAGATATAACACTTAATTAATAATTTGTATAGAAAAATAATGTACTTGACGTAGCAGGCCCCTTGGGCAAGCATCTCCTGATAGAATTCACTTCATATTCAATTTCTTAGTAACGATATAAAACAAAGAAATCCAGAGGTTTATTAATATATATGGTGCTGAATACAAGAAAATCATTCCAAACAATCGTAGACAACGTGTTCTTATCGTCTGGCGTCCCTTGTCAAGTAATATAAATGCGACACAGGTGAGATTTTATTGTTAACAAGTCTAAAAGATAGTCTTTAACATTGTCTAATAGAAGTAGTAACCATCTTCCTATCAATCAAGGAGATAAGCAACAACGTGGCGCTTTAATCATCTGAGCGAAAAACGTACATACTAACGTTCACAAAAAGCTATCTTAATACACTTTGTTAACAAAGAGAGTAATGATACGCGTTCGCGAGCATAATGCATCGAGCAAAAGCTCTCCGCCGATGCACGCGCAAAAAGCGCTGAGCACACGATATACATTTCCCCTCCCGCTTAACGTAATAAATTAGTTCAGATTTTAAATTACAGTGCATCCTTGGTGGGCAAATAAAGAATCATACCCGTCCCTATTCCGCAACGTGAGCAGATCGTGCGATGTCTCCTTCGCCGAGAGTTGAGTTTGTTATGCGTCCCGGCCAATCATGACCGGTTGGATTCATTTAAATGCTCTGTTATTATTATGACACCCATAGCGCGGTGGAGTGAGCGAACAAAGGAGATCGGACGAACTGGGGAAAAAATATCATTTTCGATTATATCGAGATGGAAAATATCGGCATCAATAGTCAATCAATATCTCAGCCAGTATTTGGAAAAAAATGCCATCCAATAGTCTCCAATATTTGTCATGGTTTGCCTTCTCGATAGGGCCAGTTTCCAATATTTGTTATAATCCATCCGAAAACCATATTTTAAATGTCTATTATAAAACACAGTGTAGTTAGGTGATTGAACAATGGACGAAAAAATGTGGAAAAAATATCATTCACCATTATAACGAGATTGGAAATGTCGGCATTAATCCAAGCCAGTGATTTCGAGAAAGAAAAAGTAATTCTCGATTGGGCCAGTCCCCAATATTTGTCATAATTTATTTGAAAACCATCACTATATAAAAATACTTATTATAACAACCAGAGCATGAGAAGTGATTGAACAAAGTATACTAGACAAACTATATTTATGTGTAAAACGCCTGACCGTACAGCAAATACAAATATCTTTTTGACAGTTTGTGGCCACCAACTCATAGATCATAGACAAACTATGAGTAATTAACTTGTATTTATAACATATAATTTATATATTATTGAACATTTTTAAAAAAGTTTAAAACTTAAATTTGTATTCGAATAGATCATCTCATATGTTGTGTGACCCAATAAGAACCCAATAAAATTAATAATAATTTATTGTGAACATCAGCTCCATATAAGGCAATAAAATCATTCGATATTACTTTATTATTATTATATTAACAACATAAATCATTTTCCATTGTAATGTAAAACTATTCATGTTCACTGAGTCTATAAATGACACCTAGTTCGATAATTGAAGTTTTTGTGATTGCTTTAGTATGCTCATTTGCATGATATGTAACAAAACAAGAAAAATATTACTCTATTAAAATGATTGAAACGTGTTGATATGTCAATCTTGAGACCATTCAACATGCAAATTATATAGATACACATACTATTAAACTATTCATGAGATGAATGAGTGCATTTTGTGTACGCTTATTATAGTGAACTTGATTTTGATTGGGTTGTTATTGATGTAAAATATTTATCATCAGCTTTATGTAATTTTGTAAAGATTTGATTAAATTTAAGCAAAAATGGAATTCTACTTTACTGCACATTATTATTATTTATTTAATGCACATTATTATTATTTATATTAGATATAAAAATGATAAAAAAAAACAAGTGAAATTTATTAAACGACGTATATTATGAGCTAATAATGGTTAAAAAATAGCATTGCTTATGAATTCATACAAAATTACTTGAAGTTCTATTGATGAAAATTAGAATTGAGTCCAGAGGTTTACTCTAACTCACAATCAGCAAACCGTGATTAAGATTACAAAGCTCTCCACTTTCAAAATACGTATTAAAATGCCACTCGTCAATACTCAACAAACATTTCCAGATTTAACTATATGAAAAGCTAATCTACGTCAAGTTTGGTAGTTTGCTTTCATGGCAATCGGGTACCACTTCATTGTTGAAGATCCCGAATGCTTGGTCTACAATAATCCTATTGTTAGCCCGACATCGTTTTGTGAATGAAACCGTTCTCGTAAAGAAGTGAACTAATTTCAGAAAAAAATGTATTTTTTGCGCATGATCGCCCCCGACATGGAAATTATTCCCGAGAGACTGATAAGTACATCCGTTATTATGAATGATACGTTTTTATGTCAAATTAGATTCGGTTAAATTTTTCGAGAAATACGACAAAAACTGTCATACTTAGTTTAATATAGAAGATATTTTAAATAGTTTTTTTTCTTTTGTATCCAGGTTGCAGAGAAACTGCATTTATTTATGCTATAACGAGTGCAGCAGTTACGCACACAATCGCGAGAGCCTGCAGCGAAGGAAGTATAGAATCCTGTACGTGCGATTACAGTCACCGAGGAAGATCACCTCATGTAAGATATTTTTAAATAATAATCCGCGCCAAAAATCTAAATATAAAAAAGTAAAATGATTCGCATTTCCGCAGATAAGCAGTCATGGAGCAGTTGCAGGTGTTAAGGACTGGGAGTGGGGTGGTTGCTCTGATAATATTGGATATGGATTCAGATTTTCGAGAGAGTTTGTAGACACGGGAGAACGAGGAAGAAATCTTCGTGAAAAAATGAATTTGCATAACAATGAAGCAGGAAGAGCGGTAAGCTATATTTTTATATGTATTATATTTTGTCAAAATCATAGTTACTATCAATAACGGATAGACGTGCAAAAATATAACCCAGAATAAATAATTATATTGCATGCAATAAATAATTTTATATTTATTGCATGCAATTTATTTTGACATTATACGGTTATTTCAATTGTCATACAACCCTTTATAATTATAGATCATACAAGGCTACTCGACTTTTATTAACAGTTATAAAATTTTCACAGTTTTGAAAACAGCTTTCCAAATCATGTTATCTTATTTACCAATAGAAAATTTAATTTTCCAATAAGCTTGAGCTCACTCCGCGACTAAATGCGCGACTATAAATGCCCATATGTCAAATCAATCAGATGATCTTTCATTATATTTATTAATTAACCCGGTTTAATTCTCGATCCATCGATCATTCCGCGCATCTGACTAATTTTGTAGCTCAACGACCTACGTCCCCGTTGTGTTGTTGGGAGTCCGAAGGCATCGCGAGACGCATTCTCGGAGACCGAAAAACGTGAACACCAGCGAGCCAACAGTACGAAATTTATACGAACCAGATTAAGCTATTATTCAATCGATTCTCGAAAGAAAAGGCGAATTTATTTATTAATCTATAACTTTATAACAACGACGCGTTCACAATAAATAATGACCACACGCGTAGACCCGGCCGCGAGTCAACTCACCCGGTACTGATTTATGCCCGAATCAAAATACCGGACCGCGGGCGCTGCTCATATGATAAAAATCATATCATGCGAAACATGTTTGTATATATATATATATATATATATATATATATATATATATAAACTACGCACAGTTTCTTCTTCGAGAACAGTGCTCCGAGATATCAGTTCGAAAAGAGATGAAAGGCCGGACGAGAAATCGTTATTTGAAAAATTTACATAATTAAACATTTCAGCAGACTGGCACAATTTCAAAACATCTCGGGACTTGCAAACATAAAACACTCTAATGTCAATTAATATTATGGCCCAATCGATTGGGGTACAAATTTGAGTATCATGACAGATGATGAAACTAGAATGTAATACCAAAACCGCATTAAAATTATAATGAAATTATTTTGATACCTAAAAATTTCACCTTAATGCGGATCTGTAGGTTTAAAACGAGTTTTCAGCATTCGTTACAGTTCCCACATGATTTTGTTATACAAACCGATAAGTAAACTCTAATATTGAATAATTGATCGAGACAAATTGATTTGATAATCTATTAGATATTGTCAAATTTGCATATATTAATCTGCATCGAGATACCTTTTTTTGTGGCCTTTGGACATGCCGCGTTGCTTTCATGACGACAATGATAAATCACTCTGTTTTCAACGAGACTCGTATCGAGTAAGATGTAAATAAAACGGTACGTATAACATTGTACAGCATTTTACTTAACAAAAAACGAAAATCAAATAAAATGGAATAACTCTTTTCTAAGGTATATTTGAAATATATTTTACTGGAACTCGGAATACTTTTATCGTTTCGTAGTATTTGATCGTGATAATGTTTACAACGGGTGTGTTTTGTGTGCTTTTGGAATTACTCATTTTAAAATCTAGAGTGAACGATAATGCTATCAAGTGAACTTATTCCTTTGCGGACGCCGTCAACTCTCACAATTTACTAAGAATCTAATAAGATATAAACCAGATTCCCATGGAATTCAAATTTCCATTCTCAAGGAATTGAACGCTATCATTGTACAAAAAAAAACAAATTTGAAAAAAGTTATTGTATAAGATATAATTCGAATTGACATAACCGATGCATAATAATTTTCGACAATAAATTTAAAGTGAGGGTGGCATGATCAGGCGACATTTCACAAAATAAAAATATGGTATAAAATTCCAATACTAAATCCTCACGAAGAGATATAAATCAACTGCATTATGCTATACACACGAACGACGGCCGAGTCTCTTATTTAATTTAATGATGACGCAGATCTGATGTATGTTATTGCAATGGGCATTAAATGCTTACCCAGCTCGCAATGTCTTATTTATTATTAAGCGAGATTTTAAACGCGGCTGCATATGTATAAGATTCGATCTCGAAAGGATTACACACGCTGGTAGCGATTATGAAAGCTGGATTGAAAAGATTAATCTGTGAGCATTAGTTTAAAATAATCTTGTGACAGTTTTGTCATTTAATGGATAGGCATCGGTTTATAAATAATTAATTAATTTTGATTGACGACATTTTCTTCAAATCATCAACTGATTTTTTACTCGTTTTGACTTATTTTATTTAGACATCTGTCAATGAATCATTGAAATTCAATGCGATGACCTCCAAAAATGCTATATCGATTTAGACTTCAAAAGAACCTAGAACAAAAAAAATATTTTTTTATAAAAATTATTCTGTTACTTGCTAAACTAACTGATTCCTTCCGTACATTACCTATCTTTGTTATGACTGCATACTCCAAGTTTCTATTAAATTGCTCTCACGATTTTACTCCCACATTTATGCAAATGCACCGAAGCATAAATAATTGTTCAGGTAGTCCGTGATAAATAGTACGTTTGGTAAGCGATGTTTAAAGTTAAAAGCACGGCATCATCAGTGTAATGAACATCAACTGTTCATGTAATTTCACCGATTAATCTGTCGACCTGAATCGCCTCCTGCATGAATTTATTCTTCCGGCTTACGTAAGTCACTTGATAATATCGGAGGCCGTTTGACGTTTCAATTTAAGAAAAAACCTGCTCTTCGGCCAGTGCCGTGCGAAGAAAAAGAAATTATATAAGATATAAAGAAAATTATATTATAACATAATACGTTTTATTCTATATTCATCCTTAAGATTTATTTTTTATTTTGAACCAAATTCTTGTAATTGATGTGACGATTTTTTTTAATTCGTAATTAAAAATTTCATACAAGTCATGCAACCCTACGTTTTCACTTTCCTACCACAAATCCCTGTTTCGTAATAGTCATTTCAGTAATCAAATAATTTTTTATCCCGCTTTTTTCATTTTTTTCAAATTTTTAAAAATTTCATTTTTTTCAATGTAAATTGAAAAATCCATACAACTCAGAACTTTTACCTCTCAACTAGAAATTCTTATTTCGAAAGTAAATTTAGTAGTCAAAAATCTTTTGATGATATACTCCTTTATGAATTAACAAAATCAGTGAGATATTATAAATTCAAAAGTAAATTCGACTCATTTTAAATGCTTACAAAATGTTTATATCGAAATCGATCGTGAATTATTCCGGCGCGCGCTCTTGCGTCGCGTGGCCGCACACGAGGCATGGTGAGTTATCAAGCGGACCTGATAATTAACCGCCGCGTCTTATTAAACCCCGATCGCTCCGATGCGGTCGATCTGCGGTGAATACATTACGAAGGCGAATCTGTGATCTGCTCTGCCTCCCCTGTCGCGAAGATACGCCAAACAGAAGGAAGATAATACATAAAATTAACCGTTATAATATATTGCATTAATAAATTATTTTTATGGAGATCATATATTTCTTTAAAAAAAAGAAACATGTGAAATGTCCCTCTCTTGTTGCTCTTCGACTATAAAGCGAGAAAACTTTTGTCCGTTCTGCTTATCAAATGATTTTATTATTAAAATGATGTTGCGGTCATTATGAGCGCAGTTATGCGCATCGGCATGTCACTCATATGCGTCATACATGAATAATCGGACGCATGTGAAAATCGTAAAGTAAAATTGTGGTTAATTAGAATAAATAATTTGTTTCAGCACGTGCGATCGGAGATGCGACAGGAATGCAAATGTCACGGAATGTCTGGATCGTGCGCAGTGAAGACTTGCTGGATGCGGCTTGCGAACTTCCGCAAGATCGGAGACAACTTAAAAGACCGCTTTGATGGAGCATCTCGCGTGCTTGTTGGTAACAACCATAGAAGTTCGGGCAGCGGGCACAGTTCCGGGGGCAACGGAGCCAACAATAACCGAGCAGGGCCGATGAGCAACGTGGCCGGACAGGCGGGAAGACGCGGCGGATCGTCAGGAGTCAACAAGAAGTTTGATCGGTACAACATACTATTGAGACCTCACAGGCCCGAGCACAAGGACCCGGGTATCAAAGACCTGGTCTACTTCGAATCCAGCCCCGGATTCTGTGAGAAGAATCCGCGTCTCGGTATCCAGGGCACGCACGGTAGACAATGCAACGACACATCCATCGGAGTGGATGGTTGCGACCTGATGTGTTGCGGACGAGGCTACAGAACTCAAGAAGTGCAAGTGATTGAACGCTGCAATTGCATATTCGAATGGTGCTGTAAAGTCAAGTGCAGTTGGTGTCGTATAAAACGGACAATACATACATGTTTGTAGACAATCAATTTTAGTGTTATCAATTGTTATTTATATAATAGTATAATAAGATCGTTTTGTACGTTAACATTTGACACAAAATCCACCGACCATTATAGTATTGCTTTTCATTATTACTTTGTAATTAACCTTTGTCGATGATTTGTTTATCTCATCTACATTACTGATCAGACACCGTTACGTTTATCACAATAATCCACAATTTTTTTGGTAATATTAAAGTATATTAGAATCACGCGCATAATAGCTATTACAATTAATACTATATCAGCAATCATATTTTGCTCACGCTAAAATTTATTTAAATAAAAATTGTTTTATAATTATGGGTTAGGCATGAAAAGACTCGTGCAAATATGTCCTATTATCAACGAAACGAATTTATCCCACAATTCTAAGCGTTCGGATAGGTCACATTAAATTGTTATCTTAGACACGAGTATCAAATTGCGTAAAAATTTCACTAGCTGAACCATTTTTTTAAATTTGTTTTTCAATTATAAAACGTAACTTTGTTATGAGAAGTTCAACATTGTTCATCTTCCGCTCATATCGCCCATACCTACATCTTACTCAAGACTGATTAAATTAAAATGAACTTTAAAAGAATGCAAAAATTAGATTTATTAAATTATGAAAAACAATACCGATCTTGTGAGTTGTGAAAGTATACAACGTGTTTTACGCTAGTCAAGCAGCGATCATTCTGTACATATGTATATAATAATATATGTAACTAAATTATATGACAAAATAAATTTAGCAGTAATAATTTAAATATTAATGTAATATAAAAACAAATATTAGTTTCTAAGCGGATTTTATAATTTATTGAATTTATTTTAAATATATATATGATTGTATATAAATTAATGTAAATATTTATTTTGATTTTAAGCGATTAGTATTATTTGTTAAATTTTTGTATATACGTACTTTTATTTAATTGTATTAATATTTTTATAAATATAGTTTCATACGTAATTTGAAATATTATATTTGTATATATGTGTATTTTAAAACGATTGGTACCAAATAATTGTCACTTATTACATATAAAAATATATTTAAATAAAAAGTAATTCTAAAAAATACTCCACATTTATTATTTTCTTAATAATACTAATTCTTAAGATTTTAAGTATCAGTATTCAAAATAATATCATAGTGTCAAATCATTAAATAAAAAAATAAAAATAAAAATAAAATATTTAAATTGAATTGAATTTTTTTTAATTTAGTTAAGAAATAAAGTACTAAAAATGTTTATTTTATAATAAATCGGCTGCCAAAAAATAATTTTAGCATTAATCAACAATAAGTTTAGTAATAAAAACTAATTAAAAATAAGTTTTTACCTAAACAATTTGATATGGATTTAGAAAATAATGTTTATATAATTATTATTTCAAAATTTAATTTTCTCAAATTCATATATAACAACTCATCTATTTCAACTTTTTTTCTCGAATTATCAACATAATCGTTTTATAATTACTTAATTTAATAATAACATTTCTAAATACATTTCCTAATTAACTGATGCACCAATAAAAAAGTATTCAAAACGAACAAATCATTTTTGAAACCTAATCATCCACGTCAATCACAACAATCAACTAAACAATACAAATAACTCTCATATTATTTTACTTGGCAATTATGTTATGAAGATTTTTTGATAACGTCATTATGGTTAAATAAATTTTAACATTCTCCGATCAAAAAAATTATGCCTTAATAATCGTTCCGCGTCGATAAATTGAGATACCGCCGTGATAGTCTTTAATGAATATTGATGAACGTGCGATAACTGTTAACTGATTAAATATTGTGACTAGCCAAATTAAATTATCGGAGAATAGAAAACGGTTTAGTAAACATAATGAGTGGCTAATAATTAACATTCTGTTTTATACCCACGTTGATTGCTAATTAATGCCTACAACAATTAATTATCATATTTTAATTCGTTGTTTTATATGCTACAAGATTGTTTCAATATTTGCCGAAATACGCAGTAAAGTACAAAACTTGAACGATAATACATTATCATATAAAGGAATATAATAAGTATGAAACAAATTATTTTAAAGATTTGTGCATTTTATATTTGGAATTTTTTTGGTTGGTAAATTTTAAATATACAAATCTGTTCATTCTTCTGTTGTATAAATAACGATTGAGATGAAGCTAAATGAATGCAGATTGTACCCCCAGTACCAAAGGAATTTATATAAAAATAATACTTGTCTTTAATTGGAATTCTTGTCATAATACTCTACGAATATGAAATGAAATTTGCTACCCCTTTCAAAATTATTCGCATAGTTGGAGATGTTTTAATATTGTAATCAAAACTCGAGGTATTGTGTAGCCTCCCCTGAAACTGTACAATTGCACAGGTGTACAAAACATTCAAAATGTATTTAGAAAATCAATTATAGCTATTATTATGTTCTATAATTATTATATTACAAATACAATATAAAATGTTCAAAAATATAATAATAATAATATATTTATAAATTTAATAAATCTTATTTGGTTCACAGCTTGATTCATAAAGCAAATTTAGAAAGTGCCATCTAACAAACGAAAAACAAATTCTAATTCGTCATATAATTGTTAGCAATTAATGTAAGTGCCTGTTAGAAACAAACAATAGAAAAACTGATGGACCAAAGGATGCTATAATTTGTAAATTTTATCATCAATTTATCAATGAAAAGATAAATGGCCTTTTCATATATGACATCTATCGCCTGTGTATAAGGATGTCAGCTACGGACAACAAAAAAAAATCAAAATGTAGTTTATAAAAAGACGAGCGTTGTAGGGAGTGAGATAGCATTTAGAAATACAAAACTTTCCATCCACTTTTAAATACTTGGTTTAATTACTAAATAAAAAATATATTTATGTCACCTATTAGCGTTGATATAAATATATAATACATGCATTGAAATAAAAACCACATGCTTGCATTTTCACCAAAAGGTTTACCTTCCACGAATATAAAATATCAAATATATTCATATGAACGCGGAATGGCCGCGTTGTCGCATACGCAACATTGCACAAAATGTTTTATTTTCAGTTCATACGACGAAATTATTTTTTTCGGACCACCATCGCACTGCTTGTCCGACTGGAAAACGCGTTTTGAAGTCCGACTATCGAAATCTTTGACCAGCAATAAATTGAGTATTCGACAAGTCGATGGAAGTAGTAATGAATGATGACACAGCAGCTACTGAACATGAGAGGATCCAGAACATCGCTAAATCGCGACATTCTTTGCATTCTTTAGATATAGAGATTTGGGCAAAATGGATATTTGATTCACACGGCACCAAAAATATAATGCTTGGCTAACATCACAGATGACATTCTGCTGGTAAAAGGTAAATTTAGTAAATATAGATATGGTGGTGAAGATGAATGAAGGAAATAAAATGAATCGTCTAGGTAACTAATGAAGAAACTCTGTAAAGACTGGGCGAGAAAAGAATTTTACTGGACACTATTGTAAAAAAAGGAACATTTGACCTGAATCAGGGATATTAGGAAAAAAATGAATCGCACTTTATTAATAGCTATAATTTGATAAAAAAAATTATTAAAAATGTTCTAATACTAATAATATGTTTGCAGTAGTTTTTACTTCAAAACATTTACTGTTTCATATCAGGTTGTACGAGGTGAGTATCGAATATGGAACCAAACGGTAAAAATTTTCATTTGTGATGTTTGAATTCTTTTTTTTAAATCAGGAACATCTAAATAACATACTGCGAAAAAGAAAGTTATTTACTTAATGCAACTTATTTATTATTTAAAAGCTAATTAATGATGGCTTGAGAAAGCTTAGATGTTTCCTCAATAATTTATTCAACACAAGAAACAATTTATAGAAGTTAATAGTATATAAGTACTCAGTTGCAAATATTTAAATGACGCTTTTTGTTCATACATTTTAGAATAAATCCGATGTTTTAATATATATGTATTGATAAATATAAAAAAACTAGACCAGATCGATATTATGAATTTGAATTTTAAAAGAATGAACTAAACTTTAAATACAAATTAGTTATTTAATATTCCAGTCTTTTTATTTATTTTACTTGAATAATTCTAATTAATTGTTTATTACGATTTACATTTTAGGTTATGAGGTAATATGAGTGAAAATGTACATTTAATTACAGTTGTAAATCAACAACTATACATAGTACTTGTGGAACATTTTACTATTATTTTATTCAGTGTTTTAACACAACGGTGACTGACACAAAAACAAGATAATTCACTAGTGAGAGCAATACAAAATATCGATATAGGCAAACTATATAAAATCTTGAAATTTTAAATCCTGAGATAACAACGTCTATATTTATTTTTTTGTAAAATATTTTTATGTTAGTGAATAAATATGTGGCATATTTATAAAAACTATAATAAATTTTGTAATATTTATAGAATATCAAAAAATGTAAAAGCATTACTATTTGCTTTATGATTTATTTACTTAAATCATACCTCATTTTTTTGTCTATTGATGAACATAAGTTATTAGTAATTATTTAAAAGCATTTGACAAAGTTGTACAATATCAAATAATCTACAACAATGTCAAACATTACAAGAATTCAAAATTTAAAACATAACGAAAACAATATAATTATGACAAAATTTTCAGAAAAGGACAACTTGTTCGACTAGTTAATTAACATAATAACATTAATCCACTAACAACTAATTCATTTAAAAAGAGACAAGAATTTGAGAATTATTTTAGATCGACTTTTTTCTAAATCTGTCAACCCTCCCGTTGTAACTTGTTTGATGAAACAGTTTTACAGATATTCAAGTGGCGAATTTGATATACGGCGTTTGTGAGTTAATACGACTATATAATGATAAAGCCATAAACGTTGAAATAAATGCCAAGAAGATAAGAGATTTTATTAGTGATTTCTTCACGATGACAGGCA